AGGCACACTCGACATGTCGCGAGCCGTGCGCCATAGGTCGAGATCGGCTTTTGAGACACGGCCGGGCAACGGTGGAGGAGGAATCGAAACTACAGGGTTTGCGACAGTAACAACTTTAGCTCGGAGACTGGAGCTTACAGCTTCATAATTCCACCACCATTGGCTTTCTCTTCATTCATGCGTATCGCTGGGCATCAACGTTTCTTGGTGCTGCTCAGTACCAACTGCGCCAATGGGTTTGAGGGGATATCAGGAACTACCTACTGCTAACTGCTGCTGTCGACAATGCTTCGCTACACGGCGACTATTTCCTGGTTTCCAGCCGTCCCTACTCGCGGTACTTCATGCTTGGTGATGTGAGAGCCTGGTGCGGCGAGAACCCGGCGCGCTTCGTCCCGGCTTCGTAGAGAGGTCAATGGCTTATCGACTACGGCATGCTACGAGGATGAGTACCCCCTCCCCCCCCCTACTACCAATCGCCATTGCAGAGTTTTCAATAATCAATTTTTGATTCATGGTGTTGACGATTTTCATCACCCCGAGGATCGACGTCCGCTGTGGATCTTGAGGAACTCGAGGGGAACTTGTATTTTGCTTTGAGGAGATTATGATCTTTTCTGGAACAGTTGCTGGTTGGCCGGACAACTGCTCGGCTCTCTCTTTCACGTCTGTCTGTTAACTTGTTGTCTTTTGTTGCCACCTATATATCGAATTAACAGAACACGGTCGTATTTTTTTTCTTCTTTTACTTCACTTCCTCCCAAACCCTCACCGCTATCCAGCTCGCTTTGGCCGCCCGCCCCATTGGGAGGCGGGGGACGAATCCTTAAATAGTATATATTCTCAGGATGCTTGTCGTGTCGTGACACATTACTGCTGTTATTACTTGTCCCCTAAATAGATAATTCAATGTGAGTATTGAACTTGGTTGGGTGAGGCGTCCTCCACCGGCCTATGGTCCCGCCCATTACGTTCCTGTTGATGGTCTGATCTGCCATATTTTACTTTGACCACACGAGCCTCTAAGCTAGGATTTGCCGACCGGCGTATTTCGGGAAAGGGAAAAGGGGACTGAACAAGGTGCAGTAGAGTCATTTTCCGACATGCTTCATGGGATATCTGACTCTTCCCGATTTCGTTCCGAAATCCGCATTCGTCTCGAATCCGAGATTGATGAAGCAATTTAAATGAAAACAACATACATGTAGTATAAAACGGGTCACAAGAAAGGAACGAAAAATCTGCGCTGCTTTCCTTGCACAAGGTGGTTCTTCCAGTCGATTCTTCACTGAATTTTTGTAACTGACAGTCCTGCCGCCGACCACAACAACGTTCGATATCCTTCCGTTCCACACACACAGCACCTGTCCGCACCACCACACCCACTCGTTCTCTTCCCCCCGCCCTCTCCTTCCCACCAGCACCGTCTTGCGCACCGCTACTTCCCCATCTGCTGCCGGTTGAGAGAGACGACAAGATATATATTGGAACAACATCGGCACCGCGACGTGCTGCAACAGCGAGAAGAAGACCAATTCCAGCAGCCTCTCCGTCTCGCCGCTGCTGTGCAGGGAACTTCTTCTTCTGCTGCTTCTCTCGCTTTCGGCGATCGCGGTCACAAACGACGTTAGTGCTGATGGTGACGGGTTCGATCTGTATGAAGCCATGGACTTGGCTGAGGCCGGGGATGCGGTGCACCTCCTAGACGGCACCTACAACAGCACCGTGGTTTCCGTCAGAGACGGCGATTTCGGCAGTCCAATTACCGTGGCCGGCGGGCCGGGGGCCATCATCAAGGGGTCGCACGGCCTACGCTCCGTTCTCATCACGCACAGCTTCATCAAGCTCCAGGTTGTTGTTGTTGTTGTTGTTGTTGTTTCTCACATTAGCTCTATAGTTCACAATAATGGGGAGCCCGTGGTCTCATAACCCGGCACATACGACGCCGCGAGAAAACAAAAAAACAAAAAAACAAAACAAAAAAATAAAACAAAAAGCGGGTACAAACCACTCGGAAAAAGAAAACAAAATGATAGAAAGAAAAGAACAGGTATTGCACCGACCGTGCGAGAAAAGAGCCCTCGGACACCGATCAAAATAAAACAAAACAAAAATAACAGAAAAATAAAGGAGGACGCTTCCCACACCCGCCGAAAGAAAAAATCAAAGGGTAACGTACCAGCACCAGGCACTGAGCACCAGGGCATGAGAGTAACGGAGCAAACAGGGCAAAGAGGCGGCAGATGGGCGGACAGCCAGACGTACAAAAACAAAGGCAACAGCAAAGCGAGCTCAAGGTACCCAACACAGCAGAGTAGGCAGGGAGGTCATGAAAAAGGAAACACAGCACAGAGGCCGAAGGCAATAAAAAGGACATACATAAAGGAGAATAGCATACGGCAGGGAGGGAAACAGGGCGCAACAACATCAGCCGGGTACATAGTTCGCCACAAGCGCTGCCTCGGCCGCCCTACTTGCTTCTACAGCAGTGCCCGGTCGCCGTTTCTTCCCC